GGTGAGATGGAGCGACTGTGAGGGGTGTGAGAGAGAGAGGAGAGAGGGTAACGACTATGAGTGGAGAGGAGAGAATGGAGAAGGTAACGACTGTGAGTGGTGAGCGACTGAGGAGAGGGTAACAACTGAGAGGGGTGAGAGGGGAGAGAGTCGAGCGACTGAGAGGGGTGAGAGGAGAGAGAGGAGAGAGTGCCTTCCCACGGCCAAGTCCAACGTCACACTCGAGGTCTTCAAATTGAACGTTTTCCACAGCGCAGGCAAAAAGAAGATGTCCTTCACCCAACACGACAGTTGCAAGTGCAGGCCCTGCTCGGGACCACTGGAGTCACGAGACCCATGAGACAGAGAAGCTTTCCCGGGGAAATAAGCTGAATAAATAATACAATGATTAAAAAAAGAGAGAGAGGAGAGAGGGTAACGACTGTGAGTGGAGTGGAGAGAATGGAGAAGGTAACGACTGAGAGGGTAACGACTGAGAGGGAAACGACTGTGAGGGTAACGACTGAGTGGAGAGGAGAGAGAGGGGAGAGAGGGTAACGACTGTGAGAGGTGAGGGGAGCGACTGAGGAGAGGGTAACGACTGAGAGGGGTGAGAGTGGAGCGACTGAGAGGGGTGAGAGTGGAGCGACTAAGAGGGGTGAGAGTGGAGCGACTAAGAGGGGTGAGAGGGTAACGACTGAGAGGGGTGAGAGTGGAGCGACTGAGATGGGTGAGAGTGGAGCGACTGAGAGGGGTGAGAGTGAAGCGACTAAGAGGGGTGAGGGTAACGACTGAGAGGGGTGAGAGTGGAGCGACTGAGAGGGGTGAGAGGGTAACGACTGAGAGGGGTGAGAGTGGAGCGACTGAGAGGGGTGAGAGGAGAGAGAGAGGAGAGTGCCTTCCCACGGCCAAGTCCAACGTCACACTCGAGGTCTTCAAATTGAACGTTTTCCACAGCGCAGGCAAAAAGAAGATGTCCTTCACCCAACACGACAGTTGCAAGTGCGGGTGCAGGCCCTGCTCGGGACCGCTGGAGTCATGAGGCTCAGACCAGCAGACATGGCCAGAAAGACAGGGCTGCAATCGCTCCGGGTGGCTGCCCGGATCCTGGTCGAAGCCAAGGGGGCCTTCTCAGCGGCAGCGGAGAGAACGCCCCCCATCGGCGTTGGGGATGACGAGGCCCCTCTCGGTCCCCCTCCACCGGAGCTCTCCGTCGTGCCGCTGCATCGCCAATGCCGACAAGCGAAGGCGGATCACAACCTGTGCCGGCTGGAAGACCTACCAGAGGTGGCCTTCGCAAATGTCAGGAGGAAGGTGCTCTACTCCTACATGGTCCGGTTTCACCAACAGGACACCCTGAGGAGCCACAAGGACCATGCCTGGAGGAAAGCCCTGCCCTGCATCTCTCCGGAGAGGCCTTGCTGGAGGCAACTCTACTCCAGCCCGACGTGCAACCGCATCGGCGACCTCAGCTGGAGCATCGCCCACGGCACCGTCACCACCAACGCCTCCCTGGCGCGCTTCACCGACACGCTCCCGGAGTGCCGGTTCTGCGGTAAAGTGGAGACGGTGGCGCACCAATACGTGGAGTGCAAGAGCGTGGACTCACTGTTCAAGGTCCTGAGAAACATCCTCCTAAAGTTCAGCCTCCACTTCTTCCCGACGATCCTCATCTTTGGATACCGAAAGGGCGACGGATCCCAACATCTTCAGGGGCTGGTCAACGTGCTCGTCGGCTACGCCAAGCTCGCCATTTACAGGGCGAGGAAGATGGCCCTGGAGGGGAAACGTCCGGCCAGCAGCCTGGGTATCTTCCGCGCTCTGGTCGGAGCCAGGGTGTGGCTGGAGTTCCGCCATGCGCGGCTGACCCACGCCGTGCCGGCCTTCATGGAGCAGTGGGCGATGGAGGAGGCCGTGTGCTCCGTGGCAGATGACGGGGAGCTCTGCATGCTGTTATGAGCTACCCGTCGGAGGCCGTCGGACTGCGAGGGGGGCGGCGTACATAACGAGAGAGTGAGCGAGAGAATAAGCGACAGAACGAGCGAGAGAGAGAGCGAGAGAGCGAGCGAGAGAGTGAGCGAGAGAGCGAGCGAGGGAGAGAGCGAGCGAGGGCTACATAAAGCCCCGTTTAAAAAAAACAATTTACGAAATGATGAACGAAACAAAGTGCCGAATACACCGAGCATCTTCTTGTTTCCACTGATCGTAAAAAAAGAGAGAGAGGAGAGAGAGGGTAACGACTGTGAGTGGAGAGGAGAGAATGGAGAAGGCAACGACTGCGAGAAGTGAGGGGTGAGAGTGCAGCAGGAGTTCGAGCGGCAACAGTTGGAGCTGCAGCAGCTGCAGGAGCGGTTTCAGCAGCCGGAGCTGGACCCGCAGCTGGGAATGTACCTGGAGCTGAGGCTGCTGCATCGGCAGCAGCAGCAGGAGATGCAGCAGCAGCAGCGGGATCTGCAGCAGCAACAGTGGGAGCTGCAGCATCCGGGGTGGCAGCAGGCTACGGTAGCTGGGGCACGAGCTGTATCACGCTGAGCGTGGGTTCGATCGCGACCCTGACGATGCCTGTGTGTTTGGATACTCTGGTTCTCTTGGTAAAGTTGAATTAAGTGACGACGTTTCGGGCGCTACACAAGTGCCCATCATCAGGTGTAAAACAACCCCAGCAATAAACAAATTGGTGAAATGGGCAAAAGGAGGCTTGCTTGTGACACGAGGAGAGATGGAGGAGGTGGGGGGTAAGGGGAGTGGAGAAGGGCAGTCACCCAGTTTAATGACCAGGCTATGCTTTGATTTAAAGCTTCTTTCGTGACTGCAGGGATTCATATTCTTGGTTCTTTCGGTAAAGTCACGTAGAAGGGAAGTAACGATATAAATGTAAAACAATAAAAATTCTCACGACGTTTTGACTGCAACACAAGCAATCGTCATCAGGTGTGAAATCCACAGAAAGAAAATTTCAAAGAAAAATAAAATAATAAAAATATAAAAAGAGAGAGAGGGAGCGAGGGGGGGGGAGAGAGCGAGGGTTACATAAAGCCCCGTTTAAAAAAAAAATTACGAAATGATGAACGAAACAAAGTGCCGAATACACCGAGCATCTTCTTGTTTCCACTGATCGTAAAAAAAAAGAGAGTGGAGAAGGTAACGACTGAGAGGGTAACGACTGAGAGGGTAACGACTGAGAGTGGAGAGGAGAGAGAGGGGAAGGTAACGACTGCGAGTGGAGAGCGACTGAGAGTGGAGCGACTGTGAGGATTGAGAGGGGAGAGAGAAGAGAGAAGGTAACCACTGCGAGTGGAGAGCGGTGAGAGTGGAGAAGGTAACGACTGTGAGGATAGAGGGGTGAGAGGGGTGAGAGTGGAGCGACTGAGAGGCGAGAGAACGAGTGAGAGAGAGAGCGAGAGAGTGAGAGAGCGAGGGTTACATAAAACCCCGTTTAAAAAAAAAATTTACGAAATGATGAACGAAACAAAGTGCCGAATATACCGAGCATCTTCTTGTTTCCACTGATCGTAAAAAAAAAAGAAAGTGGAGCGACTGAGGGGTGAGAGGAGAGGAAAGAGAGGACTGCGAGGGGGGCGGCGTACAGAACGAGAGAGTGAGCGCGAGAAAAGGAGCGAGAGAATGAGCGAGAGAGAGAGCGAGCGAGCGAGAGGGCGAGCGAGCGAGAGAGCGAGCGAGCGAGGGCAACATAAAGCCCCGTTTAAAAAAAAAAAAAATTACGAAATGATGAACGAAACAAAGTGCCGAATACACCGAGCATCTTCTTGTTTCCACTGATCGTAAAAAAAAAAGAGAGGAGAGTGCCTTCCCACGGCCAAGTCCAACGTCACACTCGAGGTATTCAATTTGAACGTTTTCCACAGCGCAGGCAAAGGGCAGATGTCCTTCACCCAACACGACAGTTGCAAGTGCGGGTGCAGGCCCTGCTCGGGACCACTGGAGTCACGAGACCCATGAGTCAGAGAAGCTTTCCCGGGGAAATAAGCTGAATAAATAATACAATGATTAACAAAAAAGAGAGAGAGGAGAGAGGGTAACGACTGTGAGTGGAGTGGAGAGAATGGAGAAGGTAACGACTGAGAGGGTAACGACTGTGAGGGTAACGACTGTGAGGGTAACGACTGAGTGGAGAGGAGAGAGAGGGGAGAGAGGGGAGAGAGGGTAATGACTGTGAGAGGTGAGGGGAGCGACTGAGGAGAGGGTAACGACTGAGAGGGGTGAGAGGATAACGACTGAGAGGGGTGAGAGTGGAACGACTGTGAGTGGAGAGGAGAGAATGGAGAAGGTAACGACTGAGAGGGTAACGACTGTGAGGGTAACAACTGTGAGGGTAACAACTGTGAGGGTAACAACTGTGAGGGTAACAACTGTGAGGGTAACAACTGTGAGGGTAACGACTGTGAGGGTAACAACTGTGAGGGTAACGACTGTGAGGGTAACAACTGTGAGGGTAACAACTGTGAGGGTAACAACTGTGAGGGTAACGACTGTGAGAGGAGAGAGAGGGGAAGGTAACGACTGTGAGTGGAGAGGAGAGAGAGGGGAGAGAGGGTAACGACTGTGAGAGGTGAGGAGAGAATGGAGAAGGTAACGACTGCGAGTGGAGAAGGTAACGACTGCGAGTGGAGAGCGACTAACCACTGCGAGTGGAGAAGGTAACGACTGCGAGTGGAGAAGGTAACGACTGCGAGTGGAGAAGGTAACGACTGCGAGTGGTGAAGGTAACGACTGCGAGTGGAGAGCGACTAACCACTGCGAGTGGAGAAGGTAACGACTGCGAGTGGAGAAGGTAACGACTGCGAGTGGTGAAGGTAACGACTGCGAGTGGAGAAGGTAACGACTGCGAGTGGAGAGCGACTAACCACTGCGAGTGGAGAAGGTAACGACTGCGAGTGGAGAAGGTAACGACTGCGAGTGGTGAAGGTAACGACTGCGAGTGGAGAAGGTAACGACTGCGAGTGGAGAAGGTAACGACTGCGAGTGGTGAAGGTAACGACTGCGAGTGGAGAGCGACTAACCACTGCGAGTGGTGAAGGTAACGACTGCGAGTGGAGCGCGGTGCGAGTGAATGGAGCGAGGCGCCGATTCGCCGCGTGCCGATTCGCTTCCGGTGACGCGAAAGTGGCGCGGCCACTTCCGGTGACAGCGCCAACAGCAGAGACGGCGCAGACGCGGCTGATGCTGATACTACACACACCACTCAGTAGTACTGATACTACAGGTAATACTCATACTGATACTACCACTCAGTAGTACTGATACTACAACACCACTCAGTAGTACTGATGCTACAGGTAATACTCAGTAGTACTGATACTACAGGTAATACTCATACTACCACTCAGTAGTACTGATACTACAAACACCACTCAGTAGTACTGATACTACAGGTAATACTCAGTAGTACTGATACTACAGGTAATACTCATACTACCACTCAGTAGTACTGATACTACAAACACCACTCAGTAGTACTGATACTACAGGTAATACTCATACTGATACTACAGCTACCACTCAGTAGTACTGATACTACAGCTACCACTCAGTAGTACTGATACTACAGGTAATACTCATACTGATACTACAGCTACCACTCAGTAGTACTGATACTACAGGTAATACTCATACTGATACTACAGCTACCACTCAGTAGTACTGATACTACAACTACCACTCAGTAGTACTGATACTACAGGTAATACTCCTACTACAATACTACAACTACCACTCAGTAGTACTGATACTACAGTTAATACTCATACTGATACTACCACTCAGTAGTACTGATACTACAGGTAATACTAATACTCATAATCAACGATTTTTGGGTTTAGATCGCGTTTATTTATAAATGTGTCGTGACCCTCCACCACCCGACACGGCCAATCAGTAAAAATGTGTCACGTTGACAAAGACAAATAGTTCACTGCTTTAGCCCACATTTTTACTGATTGGCCGTGTCGGGTGGTGGAGGGTCACGACACATTTATAAATAAACGCGATCTAAACCCAAAAATCGTTGATTATGAATAACATTGGTCGCGAAAGCCTACGTGTTAAACCAATACTAATACTGATACTACAACCACCACTCAGTAGTACTGATACTACAGGTAATACTGATACTACAACTATCACTCAGTAGTACTGATACTACAGGTAGTACTCATACTACAAATACTACTCAGACTCATACTACAATACCACAAATACTACAAATACTGCTGATACCACAGGTACTACTCATACTGATACTGCTGATACTGATATTTATATTGATATACTACTGATACTGCTCATACCACAGGTACTAATCCTCCTGCTGCTGCTGAAACCGGTACTACACCTACTGCTACAGGTACTACTACGACTGCTGCTACTCATACCACAGGTACTACTCATACTGCTGCTACTGATACCACCGGGACTACTCCTGCTGCTGTTGATATTGTTACCTACTGCTGGTCCTCCTGTTGGTACTATTCCTACTGCTGATGGGATTAATCCTACTGCTGATGGGATTAATCCTACTGCTGATGGGACTAGTCCTACTGCTGTTCCTCCTGTTGGAATTATTCCTACTGCTGATGGGATTAATCCTACTGCTGATGGGACTATTCCTACTGCTGATGGGATTAATCCTACTGCTGATGGGACTATTCCTACTGCTGATGGTACTATACCTACTGCTGATGGGATTATTCCTACTGCTGATGGTACTATACCTACTGCTGATGGGACTGGTCCTACTGCTGTTGTGATTATTCCTACTGCTGACGGTACTATACCTACTGCTGATGGGAGTATTCCTACTGCTGTTGTGATTATTCCTACTGCTGTTGTGATTATTCCTGCTGCTGATGGTAATATATACCTACTGCTGATGGGGTTATTCCTACTGCTGTTGGTACTATACCTACTGCTGTTGTGATTATTCCTACTGCTGATGGGATTATTCCTACTGCTGATGGTACTATACCTACTGCTGATGGGATTATTCCTACTGCTGTTGTGATTATTCCTACTGCTGTTGTGATTATTCCTGCTGCTGATGGTACTATACCTACTGCTGATGGGATTATTCCTGCTGCTGATGGTACTATACCTACTGCTGTTGTGATTATTCCTGCTGCTGATGGTACTATACCTACTGCTGTTGTGATTATTCCTACTGCTGATGGTACTATACCTACTGCTGATGGGATTAATCCTACTGCTGATGGGACTAGTCCTACTGCTGTTCCTCCTGTTGGAATTATTCCTACTGCTGATGGGATTAATCCTACTGCTGATGGGACTATTCCTACTGCTGATGGGATTAATCCTACTGCTGATGGGACTATTCCTACTGCTGATGGTACTATACCTACTGCTGATGGGATTATTCCTACTGCTGATGGTACTATACCTACTGCTGATGGGACTGGTCCTACTGCTGTTGTGATTATTCCTACTGCTGACGGTACTATACCTACTGCTGATGGGAGTATTCCTACTGCTGTTGTGATTATTCCTACTGCTGTTGTGATTATTCCTGCTGCTGATGGTACTATACCTACTGCTGATGGGATTATTCCTACTGCTGTTGGTACTATACCTACTGCTGTTGTGATTATTCCTACTGCTGATGGGATTATTCCTACTGCTGATGGTACTATACCTACTGCTGATGGGATTATTCCTACTGCTGTTGTGATTATTCCTACTGCTGTTGTGATTATTCCTGCTGCTGATGGTACTATACCTACTGCTGATGGGATTATTCCTGCTGCTGATGGTACTATACATACTGCTGTTGTGATTATTCCTGCTGCTGATGGTACTATACCTACTGCTGTTGTGATTATTCCTACTGCTGATGGTACTATACCTACTGCTGATGGGATTATTCCTGCTGCGGATGGTACTATACCTACTGCTGTTGTGATTATTCCTGCTGCTGATGGTACTATACCTACTGCTGTTGTGATTATTCCTACTGCTGATGGTACTTTACCTACTGCTGTTGTGATTATTCCTGCTGCTGATGGTACTATACCTACTGCTGTTGTGATTATTCCTGCTGCTGATGGTACTATACCTACTGCTGATGGGATTATTCCTACTGCTGATGGTACTATACCTACTGCTGTTGTGATTATTCCTACTGCTGATGGTACTATACCTACTGCTGATGGGATTATTCCTACTGCTGATGGTACTATACCTACTGCTGATGGGATTAATCCTACTGCTGTTGGTACTATACCTACTGCTGATGGGATTATTCCTACTGCTGATGGTACTATACCTACTGCTGATGGGATTATTCCTACTGCTGTTGGTACTATACCTACTGCTGATGGGATTATTCCTACTGCTGATGGTACTATACCTACTGCTGATGGGATTATTCCTGCTGCTGATGGTACTATACCTACTGCTGTTGGGATTATTCCTACTGCTGATGGTACTATACCTACTGCTGATGGGATTATTCCTACTGCTGATGGTACTATACCTACTGCTGATGGGATTATTCCTACTGCTGATGGTACTATACCTACTGCTGATGGGATTAATCCTACTGCTGTTGGTACTATACCTACTGCTGATGGGATTATTCCTACTGCTGATGGTACTATACCTACTGCTGATGGGATTATTCCTACTGCTGTTGGTACTATACCTACTGCTGATGGGATTATTCCTACTGCTGATGGTACTATACCTACTGCTGATGGGATTATTCCTACTGCTAATGGTACTATACCTACTGCTGATGGGATTATTCCTGCTGCTGATGGTACTATACCTACTGCTGTTGTGATTATTCCTGCTGCTGATGGTACTATACCTACTGCTGATGGGATTATTCCTACTGCTGATGGTACTATACCTACTGCTGATGGGATTATTCCTACTGCTGTTGGTACTATACCTACTGCTGTTGGGATTATTCCTACTGCTGATGGTACTATACCTACTGCTGTTGGGATTATTCCTACTGCTGTTGGTACTATACCTACTGCTGATGGGATTATTCCTACTGCTGATGGTACTATACCTACTGCTGATGGGATTAATCCTACTGCTGTTGGTACTATACCTACTGCTGATGGGATTATTCCTGCTGCTGATGGTACTATACCTACTGCTGTTGGGATTATTCCTACTGCTGATGGTACTATAACTACTGCTGATGGGATTATTCCTACTGGTGATGGTACTATACCTACTGCTGATGGGATTATTCCTACTGCTGATGGTACTATACCTACTGCTGATGGGATTAATCCTACTGCTGTTGGTACTATACCTACTGCTGATGGGATTATTCCTACTGCTGATGGTACTATACCTACTGCTGATGGCATTATTCCTACTGCTGTTGGTACTATACCTACTGCTGATGGGATTATTCCTACTGCTGATGGTACTATACCTACTGCTGATGGGATTATTCCTACTGCTGATGGTACTATACCTACTGCTGATGGGATTATTCCTGCTGCTGATGGTACTATACCTACTGCTGTTGTGATTATTCCTGCTGCTGATGGTACTATACCTACTGCTGATGGGATTATTCCTACTGCTGATGGTACTATACCTACTGCTGATGGGATTATTCCTACTGCTGTTGGTACTATACCTACTGCTGTTGGGATTATTCCTACTGCTGATGGTACTATACCTACTGCTGTTGGGATTATTCCTACTGCTGTTGGTACTATACCTACTGCTGATGGGATTATTCCTACTGCTGATGGTACTATACCTACTGCTGATGGGATTAATCCTACTGCTGTTGGTACTATACCTACTGCTGATGGGATTATTCCTACTGCTGATGGTACTATACCTACTGCTGATGGGATTATTCCTACTGCTGTTGGTACTATACCTACTGCTGATGGGATTATTCCTACTGCTGATGGTACTATACCTACTGCTGATGGGATTATTCCTACTGCTGATGGTACTATACCTACTGCTGATGGGATTATTCCTGCTGCTGATGGTACTATACCTACTGCTGATGGGATTATTCCTACTGCTGATGGTACTATACCTACTGCTGATGGGATTATTCCTACTGCTGATGGTACTATACCTACTGCTGATGGGATTATTCCTACTGCTGATGGTACTATACCTACTGCTGATGGGATTATTCCTACTGCTGATGGTACTATACCTACTGCTGATGGGATTATTCCTACTGCTGATGGTACTATACCTACTGCTGATGGGATTATTCCTACTGCTGATGGTACTATACCTACTGCTGATGGGAGTATTCCTACTGCTGATGGGATTGGTCCTACTGCTGATGGGATTATTCCTACTGCTGATGGGATTAATCCTACTGCTGATGGGATTATTCCTACTGCTGATGGGATTATTGCGGTGGAGACGGTCACCTGCCTTGATGGTGATGATGCGATGCCGGTACTGATGATTGTTGCTGATGATTTTGATGTGAGTGATGATAGCGATTATGACGGTGATTTTGCGGTGCTGAAGGCAGTGGCGATGATGATGATGGTGGCAGCGATGATTGCGATTTGGGTGCTTGTGATGATGGCAGTGGTTAATGATGAAACCGGATCTTGCCGACTGCCAAGCCGTATCTCGCGTCACCGAGTCACTAAAGTTATGTTGACACGACCCTGTAGGCTCGTGCGACTTTATGTTGACACTTCTTTCGCACCGTACGTAGCTAAGCGTGCGAATCGGAGGTGCATCCGGCCTTGCCATAACCCTCAATGACGGGCATACGTCAACAACATCATCATCATCATTGTACGGATTCGTTAAAGTAAGAAGAGTACAACATTGTGGCACGTCGGGAGTGGAATCATTATTATAGTGGCGACAAACGTAGCCCGTCATCCACAGATGCGCAACCCTTTCATCCACTGCTGGATGAGGCCCTCCCACACACCGTGCGGGTCGTGGGCGGCTATTTGACCATACTTCACCACGCTGGTCAGTGCGTCTTGGTGAATGTTTGCGGTGTATGTTGAAGCTTCTTTCGCGCCGTACGTCGCCATTCGTGCTAATAGGCGGCGCGCGGTGGGGTGGGAGAGACGAACAAACACCAAACACGAAAATAAATTCTAAACGAAATGAGTTTTCAATATTGCGTGATTTAAAAGTGCACAGTGAAGGTGGGGGGGAGGCAGAGGTCGCAAACGGGTTTTGATTCCTTACCCGTACCCGGCCGCACCAGGGTCGCAAACGGGTATCGGTACCTGATTGCGACCTCTGGGATGAAGCCATGTTGCAGGCGCGGGTGGGTTGATTCTAGGAACTTGAATTGTGAGAAGAGACAAGACGTTGGGAAATGAGTGACAAACAGTTACTCACCGGTGACTCACGGTCTACCCGTACCCGGCCGCACCAGGGTCGCAAATGGGTACCCGTACCCGGCCGGGTAAGGGTATCGGGTAGGGTACGGGTATCGGGTACCCGGTTGCGACCTCTGGGGGGAGGGCATCCAGGCTGTAACAGCACAGAACAGTCCAATGGGACGCACGCACTGCCCTCTGCTGCCCAGCACTCGGCTTCCACTTGCGTTCGACTGCAGCTCTTTAATGATGGCATGGTGGTCACCCCGATCCAGGCACTATCCAGGCTCAAAGCTGCTTGGCTTAACCGAGGTGTGACAGACGGGCTTGTATAGGCAGGACGTTGGCCACAGCCTAATTATGATTCGCAGTCACACACGACCGTACATTGATTACAGGCATCAGTCATGCTCTTCCTGATAGCAGCGATTCATTATTTTGATGAACAGGATATCCGTGTAGGAATACGCAGTACTCTGCATGTCCTCACCACTGATGCAAAGCTATTGTGAACCCACGATGTACCTGTAATCGGGTACAGGTGAGACACTCAACACAGTGAAAAACCGTGAGTCTTGGCATGCATGGGGCAGTGGTGGGGGTTATAGAATGGTAGGTAAGTGGTAGTAGGGGTGGGGTAGTTAAGAGATATTTACCATTGCGGTGAAGTATGGCCAAACAAATCCCATGGAAAACGAATATCTAAGAAATAATTTCACCCGTCACATCAACCCAGTACGCATGGAATGTCGAGCCAACGTTGTGCCAACGGCTCCAACCACATACCAGCGTTGGCCTAACGTTGCATGTTTACTGGAACTTAACATGAATCTATACTTTACCACGCTGGTCAGTCAGCGCGGGTTGGTAAAGGTAGGTGGGGAGGGCAGGACCGGTTTCATATATCGGTTGAGATATGGGCGCCACGATGGCGAGATGTTAACTACCTCGCCTGGTGTCCAGGAGGGTGTGGGTTCGATCCCAACCCTGATGCCTGTATATTTGGAGTTTGCATGTTCTCTCCGTGGTTGCATGGATTTATCTCCGGGTCCTCCGGTTTTTCTCTCCACATTCAGAAACATGCGTTAAGAGTATTTTGCTGCTATGAATTTCCACATGATAAGCTACGTTGTTGAGCTATGATTTGTTGCCAGGTCGCTTCTGAAAGAGCTACATAGCTCAGTGGGCCTTACCTGGTAAAATAAAATAAATAAAAAATCCATATAATTATCCACCGTTGTGTCTAGTGCAGTCTAAAACCACGAATCACTCAGTCTCTCTGGCCTTTGTATCTGCTACACAAAGGAAGCGTCGTACACTATATATTTTTATTATCTTCCTTAGGGCAGTGTCATCAATGATTGTGTTGATATTGTTTGTTCTTTGCGCTTGCGCACCACTGCCGACACAGTATTGCAAAAAAGACATCTTTCATCACCGACAGGGAATGTTTGTAATCGTGTCGGTCTCTAAAAGAACATGCTACTTTATACACTTAGAATGTGAGCACCTTGAGAGTATTTAAAATCAGGTGAGAGCCCATTGAAAATAACAAACAAAACATCAAGGGAGATCTTGGTGTGTGTCTAACAGTGGCAAGGACGCTTGTATTAAGTGTCAAACACTTATGACTTTACGAGCGAACACCCTCTGTAATCCACTCCTTCGTTACAAGAGCCCTTTGTCACGAGGGTTGACCTCCGGCGAGGTCAACCTATGAAGCGTAGCTCTAATCGTAAGTTACGCAAGCCTGCAAACTCCGCAAGCCGCTGCAGTCACATGGTTGGGAGTATCTGCCACAGGACTGTTGACATCAGCGTCACGAGTTGGCATGTGATGCCTCGTCACACGAAAGCCATCCTCCTCCACCTTCAAAGTGGCCACTACTGAATCCGTGGGTCTCCAATTAGAAGTTTGGCAGCGTGAATTTTGTCAGAAATTGTGTTAGAGCCATTATCTTAAATCTAGTTGGCTATAGCAGTGATTCATTCCGCTCTTTAGTTATTAAATGTCGGTATAGGGCAGGGGTCGGCAACCAAAATAACAAGAAGAGCCATTTCTTTCCAATTCGGTACAAAATTCAGTATTTCAAGAGCCGCAATGCATCTGAGTACATACTGTACGTATGTACATATCGTCAAGAAGCAGCCCGTAAAGAGCCGCATGCGGCTCCGGAGCCGTAGGTTGCCGACCCCTGGTATAGGGGGTGCCCAGTAATTTCTACTCCCCAAAAAGTCAGCTAATCCAATCGGTGAACTCCATCAGTCTTTTAAAATCCTTTATATTAAGTTCACTTGCTTGCTTGCTTGCTTACGACCGTGCAAATATTTCGGTCGTTTTTTAACCCACTTCCCGTGATCCAATCGAGCTGACATTTGCACACAGACTCGTTGTGCGTGACAATGTATTTTCGTGAAAAAAAATTCCAAAATTTTACACTTTTTAGGAAAAAATAAATTATATTTAATTACCAATTGCTTAATGGTGGCAGCCATTCATCTGACCCATAGGTGGCAGCCGTCTCAAGCCAGAGGACGAGAGGACTCTAGCCGCCACGCATATAAAGGATTTATAGTGAAAAACTTAGTTTTTACGGGTAAATTTTTTAATAATAATCAGCCAATTACCATTGGTGGTCTCTCTCTCGGTGCGCTGCAGGCCCTTATAATGTGCTAACCTATCTCAGTCTGCGTCTTCGTACAGACTTGTTAGTTTCGTCTCATCACAGCCAACCATGCTTCGGTATCTGGTGGGGTAGTTGCTGTCATTATCACGCTTGATTTTCAGCCACTCGTGGTAGTCGTTTACTAAAATAAGGTAAAAGTTTAGTAAAAATAATGAGTTACTCTTTGGTTCTTTCGGTAAAGTCACGTATAAAGAGAAAAGAATATATTAAATAATAGCAATAATAAATTAAATAATGAGCACAAATTGCGCACCTGGCTAGGTGAATGAACAGCTTATGTCGCAACTGACGCGTGATGTCCATAAACACAGGAATGGGTGGTAAAAGTAAAGGCTAACTAGAACCTTGCACGATTGCGTTGTAAAATATGGGTCCGGTTGTGTGGAGTATCCATTCATACCTCTTGAGTGGACAGGTGAGGATGGGGGCAGGATAAAAAAAAAACCCCGACAAATGTTTCAACTGCCATTGCCGCACGATCGAATTTAACCAGCGACCTCTGGTTACATGTCCAGTGTGCGAACCGTTACGCCCCGGCAGCATCCCACTCCTGCTCGTTCTGATATTTTCTCCAGGTGACGGTAAATTCTGCTCGCCTCGACCGACCTCGGGGATTTGCCGACTAAGCGACGGTCACATTTAACTAAGGCGGCCGCCTCTACTCCCGAGCTGTGGTGGTGATCATTGCTGCCGGCCCGCCCGCCCGCTCGTCACGATGGTGTGCACGTGCGCCAACTGGCGGCGCTGGATCCGTCCGCTGGTGGTCACCATGTACGTGATGCTGCTGCTAGTGGCGCTGCCGCTGTGCGTGTGGGAGCTGCAGCGTGCGGAGGTGAGTCTGCGTGCGCGTGACCTGGCTGAAGCCCTGGTTACGATTGATGGACATTCGAGCAGAAATCCGATAATTGTGGTGACGTGGGGGCACCTGCCTGTTGCAGTATGCGGCAAAACAAAAATGTAATCTGCGGGAAAAATTTTGTGCCATTGTGGTGCACGACAGATTACTGGACGAATCGGCCGCTCCCAGAAGAGGTCCAAAAATTCCGTGGTAAAACAGATTTCAACGTCTCTACCCCCATGGATTATGGAAATTACTACCACGAACCTTGGGTGCCACGCATTTTTTTTCGTGGGTTATTAGGAGCGTATATTTTTTTAGTTCAACGAGAAAACATTTTTACATTTAGGTTATAGGTTCAGTGAATTTTGTTTTGGGGAAAATGCTGCCCCTAACTGTGTAGGCCAGAGGATACTTCCAATGAATCTCAGATGTCGTTCTGTCATATCCACTTCCATAGGCCGTTCTCTAACATGGGGGAATTGCGTTGCTCTTTGAGAGGTCCTATTGGATTTTTCGTCTCGTAACGTGACACCAGTTGCACAACGGAGCTAAATTTGGGCAAATTTTTTAAAAGTAAATTATTTGAACGAACTTGAAACCGCGTGCGTTTAATTTTGCAGACTAATTGGTGTGCATATCCGCAGATCAAAGCGCAGACTCAGGCGTGGTTCATCGCGGGGATCTTCGTCTTCCTCACGATCCCCATCTCGCTCTGGGGGATCCTGCAGCACCTGGTGCACTACACGCAGCCTGAGCTGCAGAAGCCGATCATCAGGTACGCTCGTTCACTCACGCTCGCTCACACGCATGCACGCTCGCTCGCACATGCGTGCCCACTCACGTACACGTGCGCTCACTCGCACACGCTCACATGCTCGCTCGTGCACAAAGGCAAATCTCCCATGAAGTTTTCACAGACTGCCTATGAAGGCTCGTGCGTACGCCGTTTGATGAGTTACAATGAATAGGGCCATGATTCTATTGACAATTTGATTATTTCTTTGTCTTGATCATGCCGTCTCATTTGCATTATCTGATAAGTTCCGTCTGGTTCGATCCAGTAGCCTAAATGTAAGATGTGTGCACAATTTGCATAACCCATGATTAATCAATTCCTATGCACACAATGCGATGCGTGTATTCTGATCGATTAATTGATGGCTCATTACACCCGTGATTGCGCTTTATTGTGTCGCTCGTGTTTCCTCTCTCCATTCAGGATCCTGTGGATGGTTCCTATCTACAGCTTAGACAGCGTGAGTGAGACACATGTACAGCACTTGCCCGGACAGTCCGTTAAAGGCTTTACGGGGGATCTTTGTCTTTGTTCTGGGGCGTGGTGCTGGTCACCCAACCCTCTGGTTGCGGCCTTCATAGGCGCTCGCTAACAGCACTCGCCCTAATAGCACTCGCCCCAACAGCCTGCGTAGGCTACACGGGGGGTGGATCTTGACGTGTGTGCGCGCGTGTGTCTGCGTGTGCGGTGCGACGCAGTGGTTCGCGCTCAAGTTCCCTCCCGTCGCCATCTACCTGAACACATGCCGCGAGTGCTACGAGGCCTACGTCATCTACAACTTCATGGTCTTCCTGCTCAACTACCTCTCGGGCAGCCAGCCCGACCTGGCGCGCACGCTCGCTGCCAAGGAGCCCGTGCGCCACTGGCCGCCGCTCTGCTGCTTCCCGGCGTGGCCCATGGGCGAGTGAGTGCCCGCCCCCCCCTCCCCCCCCTTGGGAGAGCGAGTCACCCATGGGCGAGTGAGTAGCCCCCCCTCGGGTGAGCGATTGGACGATCGCCCGCCCGTGCTCGTTCGTTCGCTCTTTCGCTCGCTTGCCGACAGGACATTTACGTGCGTTCGTACGTCGAACTTATTTAGCGCCGTACGTATCCAACCGCGCTAATCGGAGGTGCGCTTCCATTTAAATGCCCCCCTCTGCTGGAGGCTTGCGGTGTACCCGCGTCGCGGGTTCCAAGTCTGATACATCGATTGCAGTCGACTTAATTCCGAAAGCTACAAAGCAACATCGCCCCCCTACTGTAAGATCAACGGCCGCTTGCTGGTGCGGTGCCACGTTCACCTCGCGCCTCTCCGGGACAGGTGCCAGCCGGGAGCCCCCTGCCGCGGGGTCGCTCGAGATGTACTGCGCGGGAGGCCTCGTGTAAATATTAAGCGATGAGATGATGTTGAAGCCATGTGGCCTCGTCACCAGTGGTGAGGGTGTAACAACGGCAATGCAAATGTGTACACGTACAGCTTGTCGACAGAGGTCGCAAACGGGTTTTGATTCCTTACCCGTACCCGTACCCGGCCGCACCAGGGTCGCAAATGGGTACCCGTACCCTGCCGGGTAGGGAACGGCTACCCGTACCCTGCCGGGTACGGGTACCCGTTCCCTACCCGTACCCGTACCCTACCCGAAATGAGTGACAAACGGCTACTCACCAGTGACTCACGGCCTACCCGTACCCGTACCCGGCCGCACCAGGGTCGCAAACGGCTACCCGTAGCCGTACCCGGCTGGGTACGGGTAGCCGTGTATCGGGTAGGGTACGGGTATCGGGTACCCGGTTGCGACCTCTGCTTGTTGATCCACCGCTGCAAGAGTTTGACTTCTGCCCCCTTTGCCCTCCTGCCCTTTCTCTCGCTGCCCCTTCTCCGTGCAGGGTGATGCTGTTTCGCTGCAAGCTGGGCGTGCTGCAGTACACGGTCATCAGACCGCTCACCACCGTCGTGGCCTTGTAAGCTTCACGCACGGAGCCCTCCTGTGCCCACGGTGGCCAACGCAGTAATTGAACGGGGACCAGATGGGGATCGGAGCGCACGACGACTTATGGCATTGTAGCCGAGTCGTAAGATCCGGCTTCAGCCAAATCGGAGCGAGCAAGAGTCGCGATATTGCGCTTCGTAAAGTTACGAGGAATCTTACGAGTGGTCGGAACCACAATCTCCGCGGGATGATTCTTAAATAAGTATAACCCGTAAAAACAAAGTTTTTCACTCTAAATCCTTTATATGCGTGGCGGCTAGAGTCCTCTCGTCCTCTGGCTTGAGATGGCTGCCACCTATGGGTCAGATGATTGTCTGCAGTATTAAACAATTGGTAATTAAATATAATATTTTTGTCCTAAAAAGTGTAAAATTTTGGAAAAAAATTTTCACGAACATTAATTGTCATGCACAACGAGTCTGTGTGGAAAATGTCAACTCGATTGGATCATGGGAAGTGGGTTAAAAAACGACTGAAAGATTTACACGGTCGTAAGCAAGCAAGCACGCAAGCAAGCGAACTTAATATAAAGGATTTAAAAAGAGCATTTTGAGCGAGCGGCGAGAGTGTGAAAGTTGAGTTTGGGTGCTCTTGTATTTACTTGCGTGCGGGTTTTGTCTCGTCGCCTAACTCTAGAATCTCCGAGCTGCTGAAGGTGTACGGAGAGGGCAACTTCAGCTTCCACAACGTGTGGAGTTACCTCGTCATCATCAACAACATCTCCCAGATCGTGAGTCCCGCGGACAGCGCGAGTGATTGGAGACGCGCAGGGCGCCGAGCTCGTCGTGCGACCGCTCTGTGCGCGGCGGGGGTGTGCGCTTCTTCAATTGTACGCACGTGTGCATGTACGTGGAGTTGTGTGTTCTGAATTTAATTGTGCGTGTGTGTGCATGTGTGTATGTGGGGAGCGGTAGTGTAGCAATCCGCTGCGCTGCGCTACGAACCCGCCGACCCGTGTTAGAATCCCACTCACGACGAATATCTGAAACCGGTCCTGGGCCTCTTCTAAGTTGACTCGGCCATAAATGTGTATCTGATGCGGTGTGTAAAAATATCAGCACTGGGGAGACAAAGATGGCAGGTCGTTGTGCTGGCTACCCACTCCGGCCTTCACCGGTGCTCGCTAACAGTCTGTTTAAAGGTTATACACAGGGCAGAGGTCGCAATCGGGTACCCGATACCCGTACCCTACCTGATACCCGGCTACCCGTACTCGGCCGGGTACGGGTACTCGGCCGGGTACGGGTACTCGTTTGCGACCGGGTACGGGTAAGAAATCAAAACTCGTTTGCGACCTCTGACGCGGGGGTCTTTGTCTTTGTGCGCACGGCTCCGCAGTTTGCCATGTACTGCCTCATCCTCTTCTACCGCACCCTGCGGGAGGAGCTGCAACCGATCCAGCCAGTGGGGAAGTTCCTGTGCGTGAAGACCGTCGTGTTCGTGTCTTTCTGGTGAGCGTCGCGCACGAAGGTGCGGGGCCGGAGAGAGCCGCGCTGTCCCGCGGGTCACTCCACTGACATGGACTGCCGTATCCGAGTCTTGCGAGATTTTCGATTTTTTAAAATTGTTCGTTCCGCTTCATCACTCTGCACAAACGCTCGCCCACGAGGAGAGAAGCAGCGGCGTGGTGTGCGCTCGCACGCAGCGCTGGAGAAAGCGTGTAACCTTTGTCCGGCTCCACCTTGTACGATATTAGAAAGCCACTGGAGCTATGCACTTTTATATCAAGATTAAAAACTCATTTCTGAAGAACTGCTTTTCGTGTTTAGCTTCTTGTCCTTCCCCCGCGCCTCCGATTAGCACGGTTGTCTACGTACGGTGCGAAAGACGTTCAACATACATAGACGTACTTTGTGGAACTTTTGGACGACTATTTAATACCAACATCCCAGGATCGCCAGATGACGAAGACGACGATGATATAATGTGTGTGTGTGTGTGTACGTGCAGGCAAGCGGTGCTGATCGCAGCCCTGGTGAAGCTGCAGGTGATTTCGGGCACTCTGGGCTGGAACAGCGTGGAGGCTTTAGCCACCGGGCTCCAGGTCAGGATGACGCCGTGGCCGCGTGAAGTTTTCGACGATGAAATAAAACAGAAGATCCGCGGCAGTAAAACCAACGGATATAAAAAACACACACCACTCTTTTACCACCGCTCGAGTGAAAAAAACCCCCGGGGCTGTCAGTATGGTTGGAGGTAGCGGTTGGCTAGGGGAGGACAAGTCTTAGGCCCCTTCAACACGATCCACCAGCTCGACCATCCACAAACAGCCCTTAGAGCAGGCATGGCCAACCTGCAACAGACCAAACTATACCCGCGAGTTCTGCAAAGAGCCAAGTGCGTATGTAAGCGTGTGTATATATACACGACAATCGTCTGCACGGCACGGGAGACACTCATTATTCTTTCGTCCTGTGATAGCGCGTTGTACGTTATGCCCCTTAGGTAGAGCCGCAGGTGGTGGATTAAAGAGAGCCGCCGTTTGGCCACCGCTGCCCGCAGGGTAAAACTTGTCGAAGCGAGAGGCGGCGAGGGAGTCGCGAGGTCAAACACGAGCTGAGCACGTGGCAGACCGGACGCGGTCGGCAAACCCGTGTGCCTACGGGTGGCGTCGGGCTACCGACACGTGCTCTGCTCACGGCAACGTCGCAACTCTCTAGGTATCGGACATTAACCGTGATCCCGAACCACGACAAATTGTTGAATTTGTGGCAGATCATTACCCAGCCCCGTAGCAATTTGACGCACGGGTGTGTATGGGGATGGAGTGGCGGCGCAGTGGTTAGCGCACCGCGCCACGAACCCGGCAGCCCGAGTTCAATTCTTGCTCACGACCAACATCGGTGGTGAATATTTGGACTGGTACTAGGCCTCTCTTAGGTTGACATAGCCGTAAATGAGTACCCGGTGTGATATGTAAACATCGATAGAGGGGAGACAAAAGCGGCAGGGAGTGGCGGCCAGCCGTGTCGACCTTTGTAGGCTCTCGCCGACTGCACTTGCCCTAACGTCCCACGCAGGCTATACGGGAGGGATCTTTACTTTTTACCCGTGTTCACGGCTACACACACGCGCGGCTACACACGCGCGCCCGATCTACCCGCAGGACTTTGCGATCTGCATCGAGATGCTGCTGGCGGCACTGGCGCACCACTATAGCTTCTCGTACAAGGCGTTCGTGCTGGTGGCCGAGCGGGAGGTGTCCTGCCTCGACTCGTTCCTCGCCATGTGGGACGTGTCGGACGTGCGCGCCGACGTCCTCGAGCAAGTCCGCAACGTCGGTGAGCACGGGGCGGTGGCGATGTGGTGACGGTGATGTGATGATGTGTTGGTGATGGTGGTGATGGTTGTTGGTGGAAGGTGGTGTTGCCAGCGCTGCGCTGGTTTCGGCAACAGTAATGTTGGTCGGTGGAAGTGTTGATGTGTTATTGATGGTAGTGGCGGTGGTGGTGGCAGTGGCGATAGTGGTGATTATGCTCGTAATGGTGTTGGTATTGATGGTGATGACAGTTATGCTGGTGGTGGTGGTGGTGATGGTCGTGGTGACGTTGGTGGTACTGGTGGGGTCGGCAGCGATGGCGTTGATCAGAGTAGTAACAAACCCCCCCCCCCCCCTTACATTGAGTCCCCTCCCATGGACTCTCTGCATAGTCTCCGACCCGCCGCATGTGCCGTCGCAAACACAGAAGCGCCATCGCTTCGCCCCGCAACTCTCGACAATTGCACGTTCACCGCCACCCATTCCCCCCGCAGGCGCCACCGTGCTGGGTCGCCCCAAGCGGCGTGCGGGCGGTGGAGGGGGCGCCGCCGACGGCGACGCCGGGGGTGCGGACGAACGCGCCAGCCTGCTGGGCGGCAGCTCGTCATCCGGTCGCACCCCGGAGGAGAGGGCCGGCGCGGCGGTGGGGGTGCCACCCTCCCCGTCACCGTCCGGGCACTACCAGGGCTTCGGGCAGACGGTGACCACGCCGACGGCGACGACGCCCAACGGCGACGGTTGCGCGCAGGAGGGCGGCGTGGCTCCGACGCCGCCGGCGCCGCCGCACGATGCGGAAGCCGGTGCCGCCATTGTGGAGGTGACGCCGATAGAAACTCGCGTCACCGATGAACGAGACCCAGTCGTCTAACCCCGGCGTGTCCTGCGATCGGATTTCGCGGGTTTTGGCGAAAGTGCGCGTTTGCGCGCGCCTGCGTCTGGGATGGAGATCGCCACGAGCCAAAAACGGCACTTTACCAAATTCGCTCGCTGCACTAAGGTGGATTCGCGGTTTAACTGCGAGGACCAACGGTGGAAGGGAGTGTCACGTGACGAGAGGCAGGGCTTCCTTTCAATGACAATTTCCGGATCACTAGACTGGAGTCAGTGACATGTTACTATTAGCCACGGCCATTGTGAGAGGTGTACGGTATGGTGGGTGTGGTGTGCTGGGTGCGGAGGGCGGCCCGTTCGTGCGCCCCGCGCTTCCATGTTCGTGCTTGACGCACACTTGCAGCTGCTGGACACACGCGGCACCACCTGTGCTTCTACCCTGCGCACCTCCCGGGATAACTCCTCGTTGCCTTTGCTCCCCCCGCCGTGCGCCATACGGCGGTCCGCTTGCCGCGACGAAGGTTCCTGCAAAACCCGGCACGTGCCACCGACGACGGTTTCTAGGCGGCACGGTTTCACCACGTCGACCGCCAACGTGCCCGCCAGCCAACGTCGATGTGCAGCATCAGCAAGACGGGTGGTCTTTTGCGAGTCGGGGGGGAGAAACCGTGCCGTTACTACGTGGAGTACCTCGCCAGCCAATGTCTTAGCCATGTTTATCGCTCTAAATATGTAGCAGGAATGCTGAGCACTGGACGTTGGCCAGCAGCATTAGTCTTAGCCGAGTTGCCATTACTCGTGATAAATACTTCTAACAATAATATTGCAGCCCATTGTTTATCCACTGCTGGGCGAAGGCCTCCTCAGCATGCTGTGTCATTCATGGGAGTTGTGTACTTTGCCGCGCTGGTCCGCGTGGGTTGGTGACGTGGGCGTCGCTGTCCGCAGCCACCGATGTTAGCTGTGGCCGGGAACTGAACTCTGTTTGCTCAGTTCACAGCGTGCTCATGACCCTCCCCCCCACCCCCCTAAAGATAATGATCTTAATTTGGTTGCTAACTTAAGGTGGCCTCGCCTGGTCCCAAGCGATCAGATGTGTAATTAATGGGTGTCGAGCAGTTACCTACGCCTTGCCAAGCAAGACACCCTCGGCCATCTCTTCAGTTGCCATGCGACGGACATTCTTTATAGTCTTCCGCAACTACGATCAATCCACCGCTAGATGAAGGTCTTCTCAAGCTGTCACCATGCCTCTCGCGCTCCTGCGGAGTAACGGGCGACCACTCCGTACGGGGCGTGTTCCTATTGTCGACGAGAGGCCAAGTGGAAGCGACTCCAAGAGCAGTTCTAATCCGGCAACTTTTGGGGGAACGTTTCCCGATCTTCCGTAATTCTCTGCTGCACAAACGGGTTCCAGGAACGAATTCTAGATTTGAAGCTTTCGTGACTGCAAGGATTCATATTCTTGGGTTTTTTTATTTTCATTAAATTACATTTTTTACCTACGTGACTTTACCGAAAAAACCCAAGAATATGAATCCAGGAACGAATGTTTTTCACGTCACACACACTCTCGTGTCCTCGAAATTTGAGAGTGTTAATTGCCGAACCAAAAATAAATGCACGAGTGGAGAGCTTCAGCACTACCACAATCCAACACATCACTGGCGGATCCACCTGGTGCTCCTGTTAAAACTTGGGAGCTCCGTGTGTGGCTCGTGATGAAACCGCACGAGCCTGAGAGGTGGCGGTGATTTTTTTTATTTTTACTCAACTGCAAGAGGTCAGTGGCATGAAGTCGTCGTTCAGGTTTAAATGTTACATAATGCAACGACGCGCAGGATTTTAATACGATTTTGTTAAACGGTTGGAAAATAATCGTTCTGACATTGTAAATAAAAAATATGTACAAGCGGAGATTTTTCCTGCCCCCCCCTCTCGGTTTTGTCTCGTCGCTTACTCAAAGGGAGTCGCGTACATGAATCCGGCTGGGTGAACGATTTCTTACACTCCATGAACACGCATCCGATCCTGCAGACAGAACACTGCTTCCATACGGAACACTGCTTCCATACGATGCACACAAATTATTCGACGCCAATTACGTACGCCCCCTGTCCCTTTTGTCCATCCACTGCTAAACGAGGGCCTCCCCACGCTGTGTGCATTGTGGGAGCTACTTGATCATACGTCACCACGTTGGTGATTGCAGGGCGCCACGGTGGCAGGATGTAACCTACGTCGCCTGATATAAACGAAGTCGTGGGTTCGATCCAGACCCTGACGCCTGTATATTTAGAGTTTGCATGTCTCTCTTCCTGTGCTCGCGTGGATTTTTCTCCAGGTCCACCGGTTTTTCCCTCCACATTTAGAAACATAAGTTTAGAGTACTTCGCTGCTATAAATGTCCACGTGATAAGCCACTTCGTTGACCTATCGTTTGTGGCCCTGGTCGCTTCTGAAAAAAGAGTTTAGGCTGGTTAAGACGGGGGGCATAGAAGTACAGGGAAATAATGAATTAAACTAATTGTTAAATCTATGCTAATTTGGCAAATAACTGTACAAACTTGACGAATCCGAGCGACGCTGAATGCTTTAAATCTCCGTAGACGTCCACCGCTCAATGCCCGTGTGGTCTCTACACTCGCTCCGTGCGTTCGTCTCATACCGCACCTCCCTCATTTCTGGAGTTGATAACACGTTCCCTTCGGAGTGGGCAGGTAGGAACTTGGTTGCACAGCGCATTCGTGCGATCCGTGTCACGCGGCGTAAGCTGCGTGGGGCGGCGTGTCACGTGGTGCTGAGCCCGCCCGAAGCGCTCTATGAAATACAAATCGAAGGCGTGGCTATGCACGACAGACACATAATCCCTGGTGGGCAGTGTGGAACTGTTGTTCCTTACCTGTATTAGTTTATTTCCTTTGCCCCATTTTGCTGCCTTCCATATCCCAAGCGTGAAGAACACAGAATCGAAATTCGATTGATGTATCCATCACGCGGCCGAGTGCCAACGTTTGGCAAGCTGTGCGACGCGAACATTCATCCATTTGACTTTTCACTACTCATTTCCATTTCGTCTGTTCTTCTGCCCCTGCAACGTCTTGACGTGGGCATGGCTGTGGCGGGCACAATCGTGGCGGCAACGGCCGTGTCCCTACGTTGAACTTCTTTCGCTTAATGCATAGTCAACCGTGCTGATCCATCGCTGCAAGCACATTTAGACGCTAATCAACGTTCGATCAGCTTGGACGCCCCCCCCTAGGGGAGGGCCGCTGTCGTCGTTGCCGCAGCGGGGGCGACGCGGCACGCGAGCGAGACGTCCCCGTCGTGGCTGTGCGCTCGCACCTCCACGCGGCTCCCCGCACTCACGCCCAGCGCCTCTTCGAGCGCCACGGCCGCTTGCTTGACGTGCGAGTGGGCGCGCAGCGTCGACAGCGCAGCGGCGCCGTCGCCCAGCCGCAGCTCGACCCACAGAGCGACGGCCGTGACGCGGCCGGGCTCGTCCGCGATCGCCTGCGAGTCCAGACGGCGGGGGGGGGGGGGGGGGGGGTGAACGGTAGAACGGTGATCGCGCTGCTTTATGCAGTCAAGAGTCTCACCGCACCGCTGATTAGCACGGTTGGCTATGTACGGTGCGAAAGAAGTTCAACATACATGGGTGGATGATCCAGGTTGTGTATTACCCGTGCTCACTTGCACGCACGCACGTTGAACTTTTTTCGCACCGTACGTAGCCAACCGCGCTAATCGCAGGTGCGGGGGAAGGCCAACAAACAAAAAGCAGTTCTACAGAATCAAGATGATTTCAAAGTGCATAACTCAAGTGGCTTCCTAATATCGCAAGGAAAAGTGTTTCAGACGGCCGCAGAAGGGCATCTGAAAGCGCGCGATGCGGTGACCGTCTTTGTCCGATGGCATGAACTTGAAGAGGCGAGTGGTGTCAGCCCTCCCCTCCACCTCCTCCTCCTCCATCCACGCTCACCGTGACGCAGTGCTCAGCGGCGGCCTCGCTCCCCGCCGCCATCAGGTCGAGGGTGAACACCTCGAATGGACGGCTCAGCCGGCGGCCCGGCAGAGTGCAGAGGTCAAGGTTCACCTGCGTGGGCACCTGTGAGACGCGGGGGGGGGGGGCACGGTGGACGTCAAGGCCATGGAAAGGGGAACCCGCGGCTCCACGGGACGCGACTTTCACACGCGGCCGAACACTTTGAAGAGTCCCTGCAAACAATACAGGGTGCATCAACATTTTTGAAACTATTTTATATGGGACTATCGTTTTTAATGGAAAAAGAACGGGTAATATGCTGTGACGTGATAACAAATGTCATGTTAATAGCTTCAAAGAGTCTGCACTTGTTCGCCATCATTGTCAACACACGCCTGGAATCTTCTCCAGGTGGTCTCCAGAGCCCGGAGACATTTATTTTGGTGTTGTTGAAAATTCTCAGACGTGTTAAAAAACATTTGAAGCACTTTGTATATAAAACTTTATATTTTTTACTTTAGCAGGTAAGGCCCACTGAGCTATATCGATTTTGTTTCAGAAGCGACCTGGCCACAAATGATAGCTCAACGAAGTGGCTTATCACGTGTCAATTTATAGCAGCCGAAAACCCTAAAACGCACGTTGATTCTAAATGTGAAGGGAAAAACCGGAGAACCTGGAGAAAAATCCAAGCTGCAAGCACCTTTAGCCACGCGAATCAAGTACGAAAGGAGAATATTTTTGACCTGACAAATCCTGTCCCCAGTTCTAATGCACTTAGTCACTTAATAAAATATCTTGCCATGCTGCTTCTCATTCGTCGAGGGGACAGTGACTCGGTGCCCACGTGACCGCCAACTTGTCGGCAATTAAAGCGATTAAATAATCAAAATCAGACGACATTCTATTTACACATTCAGCATCACCCTAGACTATCGACTCTTGTTAGCGCCCGGTGCTCACGATGGCTTTTTCGACGCGTCGCGCCCCCCCCCGCCACCCCGTTGTTCTCCGTTCTCACCGAGAAGAGGTTGAGGAAGGGGGCGATGCGCAGGCCGAGCGTGGGCCCGGAGCCCAGCACGACGCTGTCGCTCAGCAGGGCGTCCGACTCGAGCAGCTGCCCCACGAGCGTCGCGCTCAGCGGGAGCACCGTGCCACCAGGGCGCAGCAGGGAGCTGCAAACGGCAGGCGGACGTCGACTCGGGGCGCGCATCCCACGCAGAATGTACGATCCGTTCAATCTCTTGCGTCGAGTGGATAGCGTTTAAAAACTCGTTGATGTTTACGCGCGTTGTTTATTAGAAAAATGTGCAAATAGTGATGGTGTGGTGTCGCAGTGGGTAGCGGACTGTGCTGTGAACCCGGTGACCTATCGCTCGCCACTCACGGCTAACGTGAGTGGCGAGATATCTGAAGCATTCCTGGGTCTTCCGCTCTCAATACCAACTCCACACTGACCGGCGCGGTGAAGTATGCAAATAAACTGCCATGATCAACAAGGCATGGAGAGGCCTTCATCGAGCAGTGCAAATTATTGTACCTTTAGGTCAACAGAATGCACACACCCGACAGAACATACGTCCGAGATGTATAACAGAAAAATGAAACAAAATTTGAATTAATTCCCATGTCAAATCGCGACCCAAAAATCGTAACAGGTCGTCAAATCTCTGCGACCGTGGTGATGCACACAAATCGTGACACGCCCTGCTGCGAATGCGACGCATGGAGCATCGCGACCCTCGACCGCGACCACTAACCGCGCGAGCGCGGCTTTCTCCACGAGGCCCTGGCGGAGGAGGCCGGTCGGCTCCACGGCCTCCAGGACTATCACGTCCCACGAGCCGTCCTCTGCGCCGTCCTCCTCACTCTCCACCACCACCGCTTCCTGCTGCTGCTGCTCTCCCATCGTCATCGCCTCGTCTTCCGTCGCGTCGTCCGGCGAGGGCCGGGCCGCCCCGCTTGCAGTCCCGCAACCCGGCTCGCTGCGCACACCGCCGCTTCTTTCTTTCCGGCAAGCCGAGCCGACGCCGTCGTCCAGAAACCTCAGCTGGGCCGCGACGCCGTTAGCGGCGGCCAACGCACGGAGCGCCCGCCGTCTCCGTGGGTCCTCGGCGGAGCTGCAGACGATCGCGGCGCCGCCGCCGCCAGCGCCGCCGCACGCGCGCGCCACCACGAGTGGCAGCACGGAGAGGCCCGCGGAGAGGTCGAGCACTCGCAGCGGCCCCGCTCCACCGCCCCTCCTCCCCGGGGCGTCCTGCGCGGCGCGGGAAAACGCCTCCCAGTGCTCGACGTCGTTGAGACGCGCCACCTCCCAGGGCTCCAGCGCGCACGTCTCGACGCCCGGCACCCACCCGCTCGCCGTGCCCAGGCTCGCGATGGCGGAGCAGAGCCAGGCCTCGCCGTCACCTTCGGGGGTCGCGACCTCCGCGGCCGTCGACGCGTCGTCGAGTTGCGACGTCGAGCCGGGCGCTGGCCGGGCTATGGCACGACGGGGCGCCGCCGACGCTGCCGGGGTCACGGAGACGCAGGAGAGGCCGAGGTGCCCGTCCCGACACGCGGCCTCGATCTCCAACGTGTCTCCCTCCCTCACCGTGTAGCCTGACAGCGGCAGCAACAGTAGGGTCAATGTGTGTCGAACTACGCACAGTTAACACTTAATTTATGAGGGTTTTCTTTATTCTACGTTATATATATATGCAAGTAACAATCCACGTATATCACCGAATCGACTTTAGAAGCTAATAAGATGTTGAGCCTGTGCAGCGCCTGGATGGTCGATCACCACGTGTGGTGGACAACAAATTGGCAATGCATCAAAATCCATCGAGGCTTCTCTGCTCCGTCGTCGACCCTCGCCGACCCGCGCTGCCCACGAGGTCACGCGCACAATTTCCCCCGTGCGTACATGCGTGCGCATGTGCGAGCGTCCGAGCGTGCGACTAGCGTCCTGACCGTTCCAGCCACGCACGGGCGTCGCCGGGTACACCGCCTGCTCCCAGCACGAGTCCTCGCCCGGCGCCGTGCTCAGCGACGACTCCTCGTCCAGACGCAGCCGGAACCAGGCGACGATCGCGTCCAGCGTGCCGCCGCACGTCACACGCGCTCCCCGCCGCTCCGGCGCTCGCGAGAACAGCCCCTCCAGCTCCTGCGGGAAAACACGGGGAACGTCTCGGACCGCGGGGATTGCGAGCGACGGGCTGCAGCGGCCGTCAAAGCTGACGCCCGCTCGAGCGACGGTGACGATGCCTCGGTCAGAGAGGGGCAAACCTGGGGGTTGTTGAAGTCCACGGCGAGGACGGGGAAGGGATCGCAGAGAAAGGTGTAGCCGCCGGGAACGCGACTCATGCGCTCGGTGGTGTAGGGCTCCCGGCAGCTGCCCTCGTTGTCCGCGTCCTTCCCCTCCTCTCCCTCCTCATCGTCATCATCCTCGTCGTCGTTGGTAGGCGTGTCCCGCCCTGAATAGAAAGCGATGGTTTTTTTACGCTTTGCAGCTCAGGTTTAAGCGTCCATACATTAGCTCTGTCCGTCTTTCCCTGCATATGTTTGTCCATCCGTCCATAACGATTATCCTACGTAATTAAAACTTAAAGGTATGTATGTTGAACTTCTTTCACATCGTACGTAGCCAACCGCGCCAATCGGATGTGCAGGGGAAGGACTACAAACTAAACACAAAATAGATATTTGGAAGTTTCCCTGTTGAAAACCAGACAAATTGATCAAATGGTTGGGAGACGAAAGCAAATTGATTAATTTCATGCGATGACCCTCACAGCTGCCTTGTCTTCGGTACCGCTAAGGAAATACTTCCGAAAATGACCCAGCAGAGGGGGGAGGAGGGGGAAGGAGGAGGGGGGAGGAGAGGGGAGGGGGGAGGAGGGAGGTCGAGGGAGGAGGGGGGGAGGAGGTAGGAGGGGGTAAGGAGGAGGCAGGAGGGAGGAGGGGGTAGGAGGGTGGGAGGGAGGAGGGGGGGGGAGTAGGACCAAGGCAGACCCCAAGTGAGTGGGGAACACGCCAGGGAGACCCGCTGGCGAGTTCGCTGTGAATCGGGCGGCAGCGTGGTGCAGCGGTGACGACACTTGGTGCGTCTCACAGCGAACGTTTCTCTGCAGCAGGGAATGCGGGGGACGAGCATCTCCTTCCACGTACCATTCTCTAACTCGTACTGCTCTGCGAGAGGTCCAAATGCACACTAAGTGACCAGTTGTCGACGGCACAGTTGTAATTAAATTGGGGAAAAGGACGTTGAAAGGCGTTGCGTTATTGTCCACGCGTTGCATCAGGAGGCGCCACCGGGTGATGCTGGACATCTGTGGAAAAGGGTTTCATAGCTCATCGGATTCCTCCAGGATAAATAAAGTTTCTGATCGTGATGCATCGTGGTTACCGATTCTTGGTGGCAGACCGACGAGGCTCCTGAAGGCGACGCCCGTGTCCAGACGAGTGCCGCAGGCTTCCCGCACGCACAGCCTGCAACAGCACCACCCGGGACCACGGGCAGACGGACACACAGGACGCACCACAAAGATCCCCCGTGTAGCCTTAACAGGCTGTTGGGGCAAGTGCTTTTCGCGAGTAGCACCGATGAAGGCCGGAACGGCAGACGAGGGGATGGGTGGGTGGCCAGCACCACGCCCGGCCGCCTTTGTCTCCCCGGTGTCAACAACGCACCAGGTACTCATTTCAGGCTGAGTCGACATAGGGGAAGCAAAGAACCGATTCAAATAATCGTCACCGAGTGTTGGCCGTGAGCAGGAATCGAACTCGGGTCGCCGGGTTTGTAGTGGCGCGCGATAACCGTTGCACTACCGCTCCCTCCATACACACACCACACACACACTGCACTCACCGGTGATAGCGCCGGATCTCGGGGCACTCCACGGCGCATGCGTACACCGTGGCGCCTGCTGGTATCACTTGCCCGCACCCGGCGTCACCAACACCAGCGTCGGCGCCGTTCACCGTCGCCTGCGGCACACGATGTCACGTGCTCAGCTCGCTCTGGTTCACACAGGACGCACGCGGTGTCGCCTCGCCCGAGCGACCGTCAACGGCTCGCACCGCTCAGCTCACCAAGCGTCGCTCTGCTCACCACAGGCAAGAGGTCGCAACCGGGTACCCGATACCCGTACCCTACCCGATACCCGGCTACCTGTACCCGGCCGGGTACAGGTACGGGTACCCGTTTGCGACCCTGGTGCGGCCGGGTACGGGTACGGGTAGGCCGTGAGTCACTGGTGAGTAACTGTTTGTCACTCATTTCCCAACGTCTTGTCTCTTCTCACAATTCAAGTTCCTAGAATCAACCCACCCGCGCCTGCAACATGTCTTCATCCCAGAGGTCGCAATCGGGTACCCGATACCCGTACCCTACCCGATACCCGGCTACCCGTACCCGGCCGGGTATCGGGTATGGGTACGGGTACCCGTTTGCGACCCTGTTGCGGCCGGGTACGGGTAAGGAATCAAAACCCGTTTGCGACCTCTGCCACAGGCCACTCTGCTCATGGCAAGTCACTGAGCGAGCCGCTCTGCTCACCGTGGGCGGCGGGGGCAGGAGGAGGTGTTGCCAGGCGTGGATCAGACTCTCCACGATTCCCTCCCCCAGCAATGCCGCGTCCATCGTCTCAGTCACCACCAACGACACCCTGTGGCACCGTTCATTCGTGAGCAGGCCCAACCACGTGGTGAACATCGGTTAAAATAAGAGAGAATTCAACAGCAGTGAAAATCTAAATCTTTAAACTACAACAACAACCTTCACCTACATTAGACCGCCACGAGATGTATGTATGTTCAACTTATTTCGCACCACACGTATCCAACCGACTAATGCTCGGCTGCGAATGCAAACTGTGCGCATGACCTGCCCCTACCGGACATCTGCTAAAGACAGATAGCTTGATAGTCCATCGGATTTCTCCAGGATAAGCAAAGAATTCCGATAGTGAAGGCGCCGGGGCGCAGCGCGCTCGCTCGCTCACCTCTCGGGGAGGTCACGCGGCACCGCGAGGTCGTGCGACGCCGCGTGCAGGAGGGAGACGTCGCCGGCGAAGCCGTTGGCGGAGAGGACCTCGCGCGCCAGCTGCACGGCGGTGCGCGACACCTCGCAGGCGAACACGCGGCCGGCGCCGGCCTGCCGCGCAAACATGCTGCGCCCAGCGCCGTCGCGCGCGACCGCCGGTCAGCGGGCCAATCCACCGTGCGACGGGCAAAACAAACGCCGCGAGAAAGCGGCTGCGTCCAATGGAGTGAACTCGCGCGAGGAGATGAAACGCGACGTGGAGGATGGAGCGGGTGAAATCTCGGTGGGGTGGGTTCTGGAGCTAAATGGATCACTGCACCGCGAGACCATCAGAGGTGACGACGGCTTGGCGGAGGCCTTCATCCAGCAGTGAATTAATTGTGGGAAATGTCACACGTTACAAATTATATTCACGTCGCAATTGAAAATGGTTAAGAGCAAAATTACGCAAAAACAGCTGTAATCGGAGCTTCATTTCAGCCGGCCGGCTCAGTAACCTGGAAAATATAAAAATGCACCCGGCACACCACATCCAGTATACTTCCAGCTACGGCTGTGGCTACTTGTCACGTACCCCCTACTGCAGTCTACCAGGACATGGCAAATATTCAGTGGGAAATTAAACCCCGATTGTAATAGCCTCCGGATCCGGAAATCCCGCCTCAGAGTGGATACCGAGAGAAGGCGAGAGAAGCAGAGGAAGACAGCGGAAGAGTCGATGAGTTGTGGACCGGAGCAACTCAAGAAAGGCAGTGGGACGGTACAGGCTGACGACAACAGGAAACTAAAACTAAATTTTTTTTTATTTTACCAGGTAAGGCCCACTGAGATATTTAGCTCTTTTTCAGAAGCGACCTGGCCTCAAATGATCGCTCAACGAAGTGCCTGATCATGTGGATATTTTTACCAGCCAAATACTCTGAACGCATTTTTGTAAATGTGGAGCAAAAACCAGATGACCCGGAGAGAATTCCACACAACCACGGGGAGAACATAGAAACCCCAAATATACAGGCAATAGGGTTGGGATCAAACCCACGACCTTCTGCATACCAGACAAGGTAGTTAACATCTCGCCACTGCGGCTACACATTTCTACAGACCTTCCCCCCTCGCTCTCTCACTCGCTGCTCACCCCGGCTAACCTGAGAATGCCGGTCCCCGCGCCGATATCGAGCACCGTGCAGCCCGCGCCACCGCGCTTGGCGACGGCACGGCGCAGGGCGTCACGGTAGGCCTCGTTGCGCCGCCGGTCGTTGAGCATGGGGAAGTGCCAGCGCTCGAGGAGCCAGCTGGCGGCGCGGCGGAAGTTCTCCCTCGCCGGCGCCCACCCCGGAGCGGATCGCAGCGCGCGCAGGAAGCAGGCGGCCGCCTCGTCCCAGAAGCCCAGCCTGCACCGTGACGGACCGGGTGTGAGAGGCTGCGGGCTGGCCTTCGACCGTCGAAGTAATCGATCGGCACATCCATTTTACTGCTAGCGGAGTGAGAGCTGACGGGAGGGGGGGGGGGTCTCGGACCCCCGTCAGCAATGACTAATGCGCGAAGAAACCGTCAGCAGGGTTGGGATTGTTAAAGCGAAAGGCTGCTGCGGTGGGGGATCCAAGTTGTTTATATGGAGTGCTCTTGCCAATAACGTCGGGTAATCCAGCTGGGTTCGATTAGCAAGCCTGACTTTGTGGATGAGAGAAGGTTCAGAGTTTTATTGTTTAAACAAATTCTGCTTGATATTATCGGTCCGGAAAGCCAAATAGGCTGGTGGACTAAATAAATGTTTATTTACATGTGGACGCAGAATGCAGTTTTGCTTATATATTACCCATAATTCAAAAACAAAAAAATGTCCAGGTAAGGCCCACTGAGCTATGTAGCTTTTTTTCAGAAGCGACCTGGCCACAAATGATGGCTCAACAAAGTGGATCATCATTTGGAAATGTATAGCAGCCAAATCATCACGAGTGTGTGTACGAGTCTCAACGCGAGGACAGGGCTTAATTTTAGCCGGCTCTGCGAAAATAAATTCCCCCCATCCGGCACACCGCATCCGGTATACCGCTCGCGGTGGCTGCGGCGGCTCTTTCTTAGCGAATTCCCCGGGCACCTGAAGAGGCTCTCGCCCATCCCGTTGAGGATGAGCTCGTCCTCGGGGTAGAGCGCCAGCGCTTGCTCGTAGCAGTCGAAGGCGTCGCGCGCGCGACCCAGCTCCTCCAGCTCGCTCGTCCACGCGCGGGCGCAATCGTGGAACTCGGCCTGCACCCCGCCGCACACAGCGCCCCATCGCACGCCAGCATCACATCACATCATCGCATCACCGGCTACCATGCTCATCAAACCACTTTCCGAGACGTTCACGTCGTTTGCCATTTGCCACGCAAGCTCATCGTTCACTGCCACCCCGCGCTTCCATCACTTATCCTTCGCCCATCACAAGATCCCTTTAGCATCAGCTCCCGTTCTATTTGCCACTCTGACAGCGACCTCTCATTGCTCAACCGTGAATTTTCTTGCTGGTGGCTGGATGCGGTCCGTAACTAAATTTTCTGGCGTCTGCTGACTTCCTGATATTACAAACACCTCTGGGCCGCGGCTTATTTCAACCCGCGACATATATATGCGTGTGTTATCGTCATAAAAGAAACGATGGCGATTAATTACAATTACCACCGTCCGAGGGTGTGGTGTGTGCGCTCTGAAAATGCACCTACTTAAGGAATAGGACTCAACACAGTACAGTTGAATATTCATAACAATTGGTCAATAGTGGGATGGGGCAAGCGTGAGACAATTCCACTTAACCACCCTTCTGATAGATCCTGCAACAGGGACGAACGTTTATGATGGACGATGATGGTTTGGGTAGAGGCTTAATTTCAGCTGGGTCTGTCTGGGTGACGGTCACCAAAATGTTTAAACCCAGCACCATACATTCCATTTCCCATCTCGCTGTGGCTGTAACTGCTGGTCCCGTGCCTACTTCAGTCTAAGCAGCGACCGTTGCTCAAAATCATCACCAAGTTTCACAACCGAGGATTAATGAGTCGGCAACACATTCAGTGACACGTTAACCCCTGGGTTACGAACTTGGTGATGATTTTTTTAGATTGATCACGACGATTGGTGATGGTGACCTTGATGACAATGATGAAGAAAACGAAAGTTGATAACTATGACTACCACCACCATCATCACCACCATCATCACCACCATCATCACCACCATCACCACCACCATCATCACCGTCACCACCATCATCACCATCACCACCATCATCATCACCATCATCACCATCTCACCTGCACGGATGACCGAAGCTCAGGCGCCAAGGTGAGCGCCAGGAGGTAATGGGCGAAGCCTGTGCCCGGGTCCTTGGCCTCCACCAGGTCCCTGGCGAGCATCAGGGAGCGGTGTCCTCTGCCCCGAGCCGTGTCCACCTTCTTGTCCTTTCCACCCTTCTTCCTCCTCATCCTCCTCCTCGCTCCGTCCTCGTCGTTGCCGTCACGGGCGCCGCCGGACGACATCGGCCGCAGAGGGTGGCCACAGGGGGCCCACTCAACAACGTGGCCGGCTCGACCAGAGGACGTGGTTATTGATGTGGGCCCTGACCCCCTGACCCCAACTGTGGGCGTGCCGGTGGTGGTTGTGTTGTGGGTGTTGAGAAGAACGTATTCAACCAGGTAGGGTGTTGACTGTTATGTTATCCGACTCTCTGTTGTATTACATTACATTTCTAAGTATACTAGATCTGTTTCTATTTCATTTATACCTGATGATGATTGCTTGTGTTGCAATCGAAATGTCGTATGCTAGTATTTAATTATTTTCTCTTGATACGTGACTTTACCGAAAGAACCAAAGAGTAATTCCTGCAGTCACGAAAGCTCCAAATTAAGTATGTTGAGAGGGGGTTTGGTGGGGCTGAGTGGACTTGACCACGACTGGGTGGCACCAGCGGTGGTCAAGATGGGCCACAGCGCGTCTTGGACGTTGCCAGCACCATCTTCTGCCAGAATTTGCAGGGTGTCGCTTAGTTGGCCGCGAGTTTAGGAAGCAAAATGAAAGTTGCGTTTCAAGATAAAGTAATTGGAATGCGGCTTATGCAAAGACGGATGTAAATTGCCATCATGTTCAATAAAGAGCTGAAATGTTGTACTGTACAAATGTAGTTCAGTAGTTCAGTCCTAACAAAAAATACTCAAATCGAAATATTGCAAATTGAGACCCAACAAAGATGGCCCAGATACTGAGAAATTGTATCCTCACTTCTGCCTTGCTCCAAGTCCCCTGCTGAACGCTTGATTAATATACCACCGTCAGTGAACAGACTAATTTGCCTCCCGTGAAGTGTGACGTTACATCCGATGTTTTGTTTTTAAACCAATTATTAGATCCTTGGAGAGAGAAACAACCCCAATTTGATTTCCGAGTCCCAATCGGCGTTATTCCTGGGCAAGATTAACACAGCTCCAATACTTGACTTTGCATAGGGGGCGCAGTGGTTAGCGAACTGCGCTCCGAACCGACGCTCCCGAGTTTCAATTCCAGTACCGAGTGATATCAGAGGCTCGTTCACTTCACTAAGCGCCACAGTGACCCGCGTGGTGAGGTATGGTCAAAACAAAACAAAGCCTCGTGGCCCGGCACGGCCCTTGGCGAGCGAGAGGCCTTCATGCAGCGGCGGATTGAAAATGTCCGTAAAGTATATAAAGCGAGAACTGAGATGGCGGATAAAGCTTCCCTTCCACCTTCACTAGTTTAGCCCTACGTCGACGTGATGCTGACACGTTGACGTTGTACTTGTACGACTGAAAGAGACTCGGTGCTTCGCTGCGCGCACATTGCGAACGCAAACTGCTGCGCCGCTTGACAACAACCCACGTGCACCTCGCTTCCGCCTCCACTCACCCCGGAAGCTGTCACGCGCACGTGCTTCCGGTTTATCGCCCCTGCCCGCCCCCCCCACATTAAGGGGTGGATGGGAGAGGGGGGTTGGTGGGGGGGAGTGGGGGGTTGGTGGGGGGGGAGAGGGAGGTTGGTGGGGGGGAAAGGGGGGTGGGTGGGGGGGAGAGGGGGGGAGGTTGGTGGGGGGGAGAGGGGGGGGAGGTTGGTGGGGGGGGGAGGTTGGTGGGGGGGAGAGGGGGGTTGGTGGTGAGGAAAGGGGGGTGGGTGGGAGGGAGAGGGGGGGAGGTTGGTGGGGGGGAGAGGGGGGGGAGGTTGGTGGGGGGGAGAGGGGGGGGAGGTTGGTGGGGGGGAGAGAGGGGTTGGTGGGGGGAGAGGGGGGTTGGTGGGGGGAGAGGGGGGTTGGTGGGGGGAGAGGGGGGTTGGTGGGGGGGAGTGGGGGGTTGGTGGGGGGGGAGAGGGAGGTTGGTGGGGAGGAAAGGGGGGTGGGTGGGGGGGAGAGGGGGGGAGGTTGGTGGGGGGGAGAGGGGGGGGAGGTTGGTGGGGGGGGGAGGTTGGTGGGGGGGAGAGGGGGGTTGGTGGTGAGGAAAGGGGGGTGGGTGGGAGGGAGAGGGGGGGAGGTTGGTGGGGGGGAGAGGGGGGGGAGGTTGGTGGGGGGGAGAGGGGGGGGAGGTTGGTGGGGGGGAGAGGGGGGGGAGGTTGGTGGGGGGAGAGGGAGGTTGGTGGGGGGGAGAGGGGGGTGGGTGGGGGGGCAGAGAGTGGGGCGGACTGGGTGGGTGGGGAGTATGGGGGTGGGAGGGAGTGGGGGTGGGGTGGGGAGTAAGGGGGGTGGGGGGGGGGTGACAGCGCCCCCTCGTGGCTGCAGATGAAACAACGATCCCATTGTTGTGCACGGAACCCAAATCGTGTTGGCGACGCGACGACTGCCGCGTCGGCAACGTTGCACAAGCACACACAGGGGCAATGAGTAGCAAGGCGACGTTTCGGGCAATGACCCCCCCCCCCTCTCTTCTTCTTCTTCATGGAACATTCTTGATTGAGGCTTAGCGAGCGAGGAGACGGTAGGGGGAGGACCGGGAAGAGGAGGAGGAGGAGGAAGGAGGAGGTGAGGGTGGGGATTGAGGGTGGAGGAGGAGGAGGGCTGATGGCTGGGAGGGGTTGAGGGTGGAGTAAGAGGAGGAGGAGGGTGCAGTTGTGGTTGGGTCGGGGTAAAGGCGAGGCGAGAAATATAATTTGAACGAGGACGGGAGAGAGAGGCGTGAGAGAGAGAAAGAGAGAGAGGAGGGCGCGGAATGGAGAGTGGGGTCGTTTGGAAAGTGTATTGCATGAATCTGGCTCGCTGTAGTTTCGTAATCCATCATTGATGTGAACGGCCGTGCTAGCGCCGTCCGCACCATCACCACCATCATCATTATCATCACCACCTTAATCGATAACATCACCGCCTTCGCCGGCAGCAGCACCACCACAAACAATAGCATCGCCAGCAACAACATCAACAACGACGGTCATTGACAGCACCACCACCACCACGTAGCCACAACAAACGACACCACCGACAATAGCATCCACCACGAGAACACCTTCAGACTCATCAACCGTGTCCAACCATCATTACACCAACTCTACCATCATCATCGCGGAGATCAAATCCATCATCACCACCACCAACATCATCACCACGATCACCAATACCACCGCCGTCATCATCATCGCGAAGATCAAATCCAGCACCAACATCATCATCACCACGATCACCAATACCATCACCACCATCATCATAGCGTAGATCAAATCCATCATCACCACCACGATCACCAATACCATCACCACCATCATCATCGCGGAGATCAAATCCATCATCACCTGCACCAACATCATCAACATCACCACGATCACCAATACCATCACCACCATCATCATCGCGGAGATCAAATCCATCACCACCATCATCATCGCGGAGATCAAATCCACCATCACCAGCACCAACATCATCATCACCACGATCACCACCGCCGTCAATCAGCGACATCGCCATGGGTCTACCGCCACTCGAGTTCAGCGAGTGCTACTTGGACAGCCCCCAGTTCAGGGAGAGGTTGAGGATCCACGAGGCCGAGCTGGAGAAGACGAGCAAGTTCATCAAGGAGCTGCTCAAGGCCGGCAAAGCCCTCATCCAGGCGGACATGGGTGAGCTCTTGTGACAACGGGGGCGCTGTGAGATGTTGATGACATCGCCTGATGTGCAGGAGGTCCTGGGTTCGATCCCGACCATGACGCCTTCTGCTGTGTATTTGGAGTTTTCGTCTCTCTCAATATCATCATCATCATCATCACGGTGACTAGGAGATGTTAACTACCTCGCCTGGTATACAGGAGGTCGTGGGTTAGATCCCGACCCTGACGCCTGCTGCTGTATATGGAGTTTGCGTGTCTCTCAATATCATCATCATCATCACGGTGGCTGTGAGATGTTAACTACCTCGCCTGGTATGCTGGAGCCTGGAGGTCGTGGCTTAGATCACGACCTGACGCCTGCTGTATATGTGGAGTTTGCGTCTCTCTCTCTCTCATCATCATCACGGTGGCTAGGAGATGTTGATGACATCGCCTGGTGTGCAGGAGGTCCTGGGTTCGATCCCGACCCTGACGCCTGCTGCTGTTTATGTGGAGTTTGCGTGTCTCTCTCTCTCCCCGTGATTGTGTGGATTTTTCTCCCGGGTCCTCCGGTTTTTCCCCCCTCCACATTTAGAATCAACATCACGCGTTCATGGTATTTGTCTGCTAGAAATAGCCACATGATAAGCCACTTAATTGGGATATAATTTGTGATTGCCAGGTCGCTTCTGAAAATGGGCTTTAGGGGCCGTCCATAAATGACGTCACGCGATTTTGGCCGATTTTTGACCCCCCCTCTCACCCTCGTCACACGGCGTCACAAAAAGTCAGACCCCCCCTCAAATATGACGTCACAAAGCTCTGCCCCCCCCCCCCAAATAAAACTTAAAACATGCTTCAAAACACTTTAAACCATTATCATTGCAGTGCGTATTTTATGTGGCGCTGAACTCTGATGTTGTAGGAGAAACATTTATTAAAAAGGAGGTGTTGGAAAGCCGAAATTTGCGTAAAATTTACTTGAAAATATTCAACGTCTAACTAAAACTGCAGATGTTCAGAATACTAAATTGAAATTCTCATATAATTATGAATACCGTGTGGGTCGGTGGCTTAGGGAGGCCGTAATCAAGCAGTGGATAGACATTGGCTTACGATGATGATGGTGACGAGTTCGAAGTTGCTTATGTGTGTCTAATCAATATAGACAGTATCACCAGATGTGAAAGGGCACATACCTCATGCTGCAATCTGCATTCCATGGGTAGGTTGTACGTAAACGCAAAGCGGATGGTTGAAATCGGCCTTTAATTGTCTCGGTGTGTCAGAGCACAGATTTTACTGGTAGGAACCTCCTGGTTACACCAGACCACATGGGATTATTGTGTCCGTCCGTCGTGCATCCACAAATGGGAGGGGTGGGGCTGGGTGGGGGCTGGGTGGAGAGGGGCTGGTCAACCCGTGGTGGACCTTATAAAACTCAACGTTTAACCTACTCACGCCGGCTTGTGCCCGGGCATATTTGCGTAATACACCACGCCGCCGTTGACCCTGGCCATTGACCGAGCAACCCAACGTTCCTACCAGCTCCCTCCGCAGGAATGTGTTTAATGCCATCTGTGTCTGCTTGCATGTGTCCCGTTCTGGCAGTGGAGATTAATAATATACGCGCTGTTGTTTGTACTGCATGTGTATGTACAGTATGCTGATGTACAACATTTATAAACTGTTAAGTTACGGCGGCTGTGCATTGCCCAGCGTGGTGAAGTATGGTCAAACTATTCACGCGTGTGGAGTTCTTCATCCAGCACATTGTTATTACAGTGAGGCGCAGCCCTGCAATGGCTTGCCCAATGTCTCTGCTGGCAGAAGGGAGTTCTCGAGAGCTCACTTTGAGGGTACGGAACTTTGGCCTACTCTTCCACGCTAACCAAACGTCTAGCGAAGGAAGGGGCCGACGGCAGACACGGAAATAAATAAGCACCACCGTCATCATCGCCACCATCATCCATCATGGGTGGTTAAAGTTAGTTCCTCCTCGTGATGCCATCACCACTCGAGTGGGAAGTCAGCAGTAAGCTGTCCTCTTGATGGGCCCTAGACTCTGCCTTTTCGGAAGCTAAGCACGGTTAAGCCCTGCCGTAGCTTGGATGGGCTGCAGAGGGGTACGTTGATTGCAGTGCAGGAAAAAAACCCACAATTGTTGTACGGTACTTCTATGCCCCCCGCGTCTGTGCTCCCCGCCTTCAACAGCTGGCACTGACCAGAGTAGCAGAGTGTGGTCAAATTATGAAATTATGACATTATGCGCGCGGCGTGTGCAGGCACTCATCCAGCAGTGGATTGACGAAAGGGCTCGATGCGTGCGTAACATTGTAACCATAGTGACAAAGACAAAGATCCCACATTTAGCCTTAACAGACTGTTGGGGCAAGTGCTGTTAGCGAGCACCTATGAAGGCCGGCACGGCACACGAGGGGGTGGGTGGCCAACACCACGCCCGGCCGCCTTTGTGTCCCTAGTGACGATGTTTACACATCGCACCAGGTACTCATTTGAGGCTGAGTCGACCTAGGGGAGGCCCGGGACCGGTTCAGATAATCGTCACTGGGTGTTGGCCGTGAGCGGGAATCGAACCCGGGTCGCCAGGTTCATAGCGCAGCGCGCTAACCGCTGCACCACCGCTCCCCACAACCATAGTGACAGATACACACACACACAGCGTAGACGTATATCCTCATTCACAACAGGGCAATGCTGTGTTCATTTGTACAGCAGTACAAAGACAAAGGTCCCCCGGATGGCCTTTAACAGACTGTTGCGGCAAGTGTTGCCATTCGAACGCCTACGAAGGCTGGAATGGCACATGATGATAGGTGGTGTTGCCAACTCCACGCTGAGGCCCTCTTTGTGTCTGCTCAGAGCTGACGTTTTACACACCGCACCAAATAAGTCATCCGAGGAGGCTGAGTCGACCTGTGGTTATTGTTGGTCGTGAGCGAGAGACATATCGTGATTGGGTACAGGGCAACACTTTATATTGGTGTGTAGAATAGTACGCAAATACTGTCTGCAGACGACACGTAATACCACACTGCTAGCAGCCGGTATTTGTACAAGGCACTGTAGTCTATTACCGCACAGAAGAATCGGTGGTGCATATACACATCTCAGAGCTGTTATGGTCCGTGAAAAATCCCATTATCTCGGGCCCTATTCGGCCCATTCATCATCCGTGTTTCCCCCCCCACCCCAACAGATAAGTAGCAGTACATTCGCGAGTGACCCCCACGGATAACGGGATCCCCGACATTCGCTCCCCACTCCACGTCATTGGGGAAAGGGGGGTTTGTGTATCGCCTGGATGAGAGCCTTTTGAGACATCGAAGATATTCTGGAAAAAAACCATTTTTGCACTAAAATAGAGGCAAATAGATGAACGAATATAAAATGTTCCACGTCTTCGCTGGCCACTGCGTTTTATAAAAATGCTGGAATTTTGTTGTATACATCTAATGGTGAACGGGTGAGGGGTGGCACAATGGTTTGCAAGCTGCGCCTTGAACCCGGCCACCTGAGTTTGATTCCAGGCCTCGGCTGACATCAGCGACAAGCAATTTCGGGAACAAGTGCTGGCCCCTCCCTGCCTTAAGCAACTTGCACTGACCAGTGTGGTGAAGTATGGTCCAGCAAACGTTACATGACCAAAGTGGGGGGGGGGGGGAGGCCACCATCCAGCCGTGGATTGATCAAGGATTGTACATTTGTTCTTGTGTAGTTCACACCAGGATATTTAAAAGGAGCCGAGACCCGCAGTTCCACGTGGGGTTGAGTGGGAAACCGCATCGACTTGAAATACGAAAAGCATAGCCACTGCAGATATGAAATAAATTTCCATTGCACCCAAGTGCGGTTTTAACAAGGGCCTTGCGATCAACTGGTTCTTGCGCTGGTGGAAACACGACTGGTGGGTGTCCACCGGTAATTGTCATTGACCTTATATTACACAATGTCTCAAGATGCTTTGATAACAAGCAGCGCAAAAACAGTGACTAAAGGGATGGTTGGTTATGAAGGTTTGTGACAAAGTTGTTGTGATGACAGTATTATCATGTACAGTGTTACCTTTTGCGCCTATGATCCACTGACGTGGAATGTGCCCAGTCTTGTCAAATCGCTGCAGCTTAATATGGGTTGAGCTTGGAAAGTGCTTGGATGGGTGATAACCGTGCGTGGCAGGTGTTATAGGCTGTGGGGCGACGTGGTTGGCAGCGGAGGACAGTGCCGCAAAATCCCTCCGTTGTATTGTGCATCTATGCTCTTGTGCCCGTGTGCTCCCCGCCTTCACCAAACCCCCTGCCACTGACCAGAATGGTGAAGTATGGTCATATGACCCGCGCTACCCGCACGGCGTGGGAAGCACTCATTCACATTTACAACTCGCAGGACATTCTCTCCAATGGGACAAGCACTGTTGACTTTCCACAAAGTGTTACCTATTTTACTGACCCCGTAGGAACGATTGATGATCAGATGAAGTCAGTGTGTTACTGTTATTGTGGGCGATGGAAAGGGTTGGTTAAAAGAGCTGTGCATGTCCATTACTGTCTTCAGTAATCGCACAGTATTACAGTATTTCTTTTTTTACAATTTTTACTTTACCAGATAAGGCCCACTTTTTCAGATGCGAAGTGGCTTATTACGTGGGAATTTATAGCAGCCAAATACTCTAAATGCATGTTGATTCTAAATGTGGAGGGAAAAACCAGAGGAGCCGAAGACAACTCCACGCGACCACGGGGAGAACACGCAAACTCCAAATATACAATAGGCGTCAGGGTCGGGATCGAACCCATGCCCCTTCTGTTTGCCAGGCGAGGTGGTTAACATCTCGCCACCATGGCGCCCAGTTTTTTCTAATCAATGCCTCGGTTTGCCTGTTACATTGCCTGGATTCTTATCAGAAGTCTCATCAACGGGCAGCCTTGCAGATTGCTGAGCCTCACAAAACCGTGGGCAGAGTAGAATATTTTTTGCGGTGGCAAAAAATTTCAACTGCAAAACCATAGTGG